CCACAACGTTTAATCCTGTTAGGCGATTCTCTGATGTTACATAATGAAAAGGCGGAGGTGGTGCATGACAAGTGGCACGCCTACCACTCGCGCTGTCCTGGGTTCAATTCTCGGGTCGGCTGTCGTCGAGGCCAACCGAGTCGGGACAGTACACTCCTTATCCCTGAGCCAGAGTAGGCGTGGCATTTGAACATGGCACGGAACTGGTTACTCGTGGAATATTCCAGTCTGGGACAACTGTCATCTTGTTCTGTGTTGGACAGAGACACGACAACAATTGTGTCAAGATGAAAATATCTCACCAGAAGCATAGACACCTTCAGGTTAAGTTGAAACATGCGGCCACGCCTACCCGATCTCAGGGATTTCTAGTATAGATTGGTACCAGATCCGTCTGGAAGAGATCGGCCTCGTAAGTTACTATAGGCCACATCGCGTGCAGTAAGCCACTACGTTTCTGAATGGAAGTAGCATGCATGCCGCTCCCTACAAAGGATTGAAGAACAGCGGAGACTTTAGTCTTTTTATACTTTGTTACATAGTGGCTTTCAGTGAAAGTGATTTTCATTGGCAAGGCACACTACCGTACAATCATTTTCAGTCATTTTCAAACTTAACTGGATGTTCTAGATGTATGAGATGTTGGTCGGGCAATCACCGTTCCATGGTGAAGGCGAAGATGAGCTGTTCGATTCCATCCTGAACGAGCGACCATACTTCCCCAAGACTATTTCCAAGGAAGCCGCCAAATGCTTGAGCGCTGTGAGTTTGTTGTTTTTTTGGTGGCTTCAGAGTACTTGATGAATATTTGCATTTTAGCTGTTCGACCGCAATCCGAACACACGACTGGGAATGCCCGAATGTCCGGATGGTCCCATTAGGCAACACTCTTTCTTCCGTGGTGTTGATTGGAAGCGATTTGAGACTCGACAAGTCCCACCGCCATTCAAGCCAAATATCGTGAGTGAATTTTTTGATCTGCTCACATTTTTTGAAATAGAAAACGTCTCACTATGTATTTTTACTGCAATGGCGGATAAAAGTGAAACAACAGAAAAAATAAAGAAGGCTGCCAACCAGCTCGAAGATACAGTCCTCATCATTGCAGACCGGTGGGGCGGTGCGTGTGACTCGGCTGTGACGCGGCAGCGATCACAGTCGCGTCACACGCACCGCCCCACCGGTCTGCAATGATGAGCACCATATGTTTGCGATTTTTTATGAACAAGATATTTCCAAGGGAATAAGGGCTGGTATATGATCGCAAGCCGCACGCTAATCTCAAGACACCATGTTTAAAGGCAGACTGAGCCTAAAAAAGTGTTCGTAAGTAGCGGGGTAGGGAAAAGAAATGTGTTTGTTCTGCACGTAAAGAAAAAATGAAAGGAAACTGTCAAAAACGCCCCGAATAAGGCCGTGCTCGTGCGAAGCGAGAGACAAAGATGATGTGGATATCGGGTGAGAGGGCAGAGAAAGCAGCGGGAGAGTATGCATATGAGCAGTAGAAAAGACATCTATCACTGTAGGTGGAGTCACTTGAACAGCCTTGCACTTTATCGCCGGTACTTTACGACCTTCTAACAGGATACTCGAAAGGGTTGTTCGTTGGAGTCCTTACTAACTCCCCCTATGATGAGCTTAGACACGACAGTTGTAACTGATCGTGGGCTCTGCAAAGCCAACTTTCAGAGCTGGTAGCCAAAACTTAGCTCGACAGCCTCTCATGTTGACCACGTCGAGTGAAAAGTAACAAATAATAAGGCCCTCCATGAGAAGTGAGCTCGACTGAAGAAACAGATGAGATCGCTGAAATAATAAGATATCAACATAAGAGGTTTTTTCAGTCCTACCCACTCAACTTGGAGTACTTCAAAGGAAGTGTGCAGGACGGCTGGAGGGGGGTGGTTCTTGCCAGCGTCATTGGTGGAACGGTTGCGAGAGGACATTTGATACACCTTTCTCAGCCCTTCCACCAATGACGTCGGTGACTACCACTCCCCCACCTCCCAGCCATCCTGCCCACTGCCCTCGAGGACTAATAGAAGCCTAGCTTCGTAACACCTGCCCTATAGTACTGCTTACTCGAAGTTGGCTTGGCAGTGAAACGTTCTGGATGTGCGCTTTAGCGGATAACTTAGTTGTGGTTGTAAGGAACGAGTACACTAAGAATTTTTTTCCCATAAGAAGAAGTCTTAGTGATGTGGATGCTAAAGTTTGAAGAATCAGGAGCTATAATAAAACTGCCGGAGGCTGAGAACACACCCATTCTTTGGTTCGTCACAGAACCTTTTTCCACCCAGATAGGAATGCCAGATGACTTTCAAATTGACTCTCGTTCTAAGAGCACCTTTTTTCAGAAATCCAACTCGGACGCGTCTAATTTCGACGATGACTTCACGAATGAGAAGGCAGCGCTGACGCCGGTGCACGACAAGTCTCTGCTGGCTTCCATCGATCCGGAGGCTTTCTTGAACTTCTCCTACACAAATCCACAGTTCCTCTGAAGGCAAAGTCGTCATTCGAAGTGTGACACTGATATGTAATAGCTATAAGCTACTGATATTGGGCTCAAATGAACACGCAATATTACTTCTCCATGATAATTTACTTGCACATTTGCACGCACGCGGTGAGAAGTATTGTATAGAAACATAGAGATATGATAGAGATTCCCCGTAGAGATTTGTCGTTGTCTTAATCAGCTCGTCCTAACCCTGTACAAGCCAGCCCCCCTTAATAGTCATAATTAATAGAGAGAACATAATAACGACTGGAATCTCGTGTGTGTTTCCCTTGTCGGATCGCGCCTATATTGATTAGTAATCCACCGCTCCAACACCACCTTTCAGTTCTCGAATCGAACTCGCTGACTCCTCAGACGCCCAATTTTAGCCGGGTCTCACTTATTGGTTATCATTCGTTTTGTGTTCCTTCGTTCATTGGTATGTTCGCTGGTGTGGCAGTACTATCGCTGCCCTTTTTTCCTGAAATCATCTACTAATTTCCTCTTGTTCACTTTGTTCCACAGCAACACACATCGTTATCGTTAAAACACATCTTATCGTAGAGTAGCATATACCTGTGATCCTTGAAGATTGATTACTTGATTTTACGGTCGATGCTGTTTCTAGGCCGCTAAGCAGAGTTCCGAATCGAGAGCTCGCATGCACGTCTTCGCCAAAGGAACCATGCTTTACACGATTTGAAAAAGATTCTAGCCCAGTACTGGCATGTTTTCATGGAATTATGCCAAGATGTGCATGCTGAAACTCTTCCACATTCTCATATCATATTTTTCTATTCTATAAGGCCGGAGGACCTTTTTTGATTGTGAATCGTTTTCTTGTTCACTAATGTACAAAACATGCCATCTAATAAATGGTGATTCATACATATATTCTGTCTGTGCTTCGAACAGGAACACCAACAACATTTCAAAAAATCCCAGGGTTGTTTGGCTTGGGAAATGCACATTGCACTTTTTCTCTACATACAACGTGAGAAGCGACATCCGCTTCTTTTCTTTTTCCAACTTGATTTTTCTCCATTTTTTCTGTTCTGAAACCTATACGGTTCAGTCAGCTCGTCGAGCTCTACAGTTGATAACCTGACAATCACTTGAAGCGTTTCCTTATTGCTCCCTTATTGATTAAATCAGAAAAAAAAAAAAAAAAAAAAAAAAAAAAAAAAAAAAAAAAAAAAAAAATCTATTACTAAACTATCAAAATTGGGAGAGGAATGCAGCCGGATGAGGGCCCATTGCTTCCCTTCTGAAACCGCCCCGCCTGATTGCGGCATTATCGACGAAACAGCGTGGTCATTCAAAAACTCGGCGCCCAGTTGTTTCGTCTGGATTCCGCCAAGGTACATGAGGCCACTCATAAGCGAGTGAGTCTCGCTATCATTACAACCAGGGCAATCGCTGGTAGTGAGCTCCTTTAAATGATTTTTGAGTCACGGTTCATATCAAACAAATGAAATACCTGTAGGTCTGTCCCTGTGATAGCCATCGTCATTTTGGTGCGATTTTCTTTCAGTAAAATTAATCTGAAATTCATTTGTTCCATGGTATCACCTTTTTAATCTAAAAAATTGCAGGTGCTCATTGCTCCACACCCCAATGTATGTGTTCTATAGCACCGCTTTTCTTTTAGCACCCCCATATTGTAGTAGTATGGTGGTATGGTAAAGCTACCGCAAATCCCAGAACAGTATCAGAAAGGATCGTTGTCAGAAACCCAACATAAAACGCCGCTCGAATATCAGGAGGTCAACGGGGAAACAAGCGAAAATTCTTTCATTTATGCATTTAGCACTTCTAGGCAGCTTTTGAGTTGAACTTTTCGATATGAAGTGCTCAGAACAAATTGAAAACTGTCCTGTATATGACAGGATGGCCGAAACTATAGACGCGCCCGAAAAAGCTCCTCTGTCACAGTGGCACACTTTTCTAGCCAACGCACGCTAGTTACAAATTTTACAAGGAAAATCCGATGGTCCGCTTATACTATAACTGCGACATAGGAAAACAAAAGGGATCACGTGGTTGACGGTACATCGCAGGTTGTAGACTTCTATACCGGCTCGTACATTGACAATTTCACGTCTGAAAAAGTCAGAAACAGTGATTTCCTTACTCTACGATTTCTCTTCTACAAGGCTCTACACAGAAGAATCGACTGGGTGCAGGCTCAAGCAACCGAATGAGCCTCTGGTAAAAGTCTAATTTTTGTACATAACTACGAACAAATACATCGAACCCTGAGTAGCTGCCCGCTATATACTTTGAATTGTCAAACGAACGATTTAGGAGGCGACTCGAGGTGGTTCCATCATATATGGCAATTTCCTTCTTGTTTGTTGAACATTACCTCCGTGCGCTGACTAACAGCAGCTGACAGGGTACTTCATGTCAACGTTACCTTGGGTTTTCGACTGGCAGCGATATTCTGGTTAGTACAGTAAAGTTTCTGGTTGACGAGCAGTGGTGGAGTTCTCCTTCTCAAGCTAGGAAAGTTATCGCTAGAGAAGGAGAGCTCGATATCGATCACTCTCGTTGTGGATAAATGGAATGGATAAAAATGTGTAATGAAAAGAATCCAAAAATGTACCATATCGTCCAAAGGTGTGCTTCACTTCCCTTCAAACTCCTGAAACATCTCGCGATACTGTTAGGATATCACTGACCTTATTGTTGCGTTGGGTTCTTGCGCATAATTGTAAGATGCAATGGAAGTGGACTCACTACTCGCCAGAACTTGGGAAGACTGTTACTGACCTACGTGACGATGCGCGGGATAGCGAGTCGTGGAGGCTATGTATCGCACGCCAACTTTTACGTTTACCCCGTATTCTCAACTGATTCTCCAGCTGTAGCACTGACGACTGCGCTGTGCAGATGCTTGCAACTTGACCGTGCAATTGTCTCAACTGAATTTTAAAAACAAAAGTATTCTTATTCCGACTGATTTTGTGTAATTTAGCAGCTGCTGTTCTTCCGAATTAACATCACATTTTCCAGCTACATCAAAAACTGGCAGGTTTCAACCTTGTGGCTATTTCTCAAAGTGGCTGCTATGACCGCTGACTAACGGCGAAAATTCACACAGCCCTGGCTTGCAGCTTATCAAAAAAATCATTTTTCGGATGTTGCTGCACCTAACATAAGGCTTTCGTTAATCTCAACGACTGTGCATTGTAGCGTACCGTGAACTGCACCCAGAATGTTCCTTCGCTCCAGAACAGTCATTTGGTTGCTTGGCACACAGGGCACGCCATTGCGTTGTGATCATTTCCTGAAATACGGTCCCCCTAATTCCATCTTCAAGTACGACCCCCTCCCCATGTTACCTCTTCCCTAGATTTTTCCAACCTCCTACCACTTTGTCTATTTTTTCCCAAAAAAAATTTCTGGTTTTTTTACAAAATTTTGCTGTCGAGCGGGGGGGGGTCGCAGTACCTACGTACGTCCCAAGCACGTCCAGCACTCTGGCGCTGGTGTAGCATACTGACAATACGTACGAGGAAGGGGCGATGATAGGAGCTACGATCACCGCCCACAAGGGCACCATGAATTTATAAACAATGGAAAGGACTTACGACTGACGATGAATAAACAGACGAAAGTACATTCCCGGACTTTTCTGATTGCAGCACATTTGCTTGCAATTGGGAAGCCCTATCTAGAAGTTACACCTTCCAAACACCTGCGTGAAAGCCCCATGCATGGCGCATTGCAGAGGTGATGCCAATTGGCGCCCAATGGCCTATTTCCTGATACCCTTTGCGAAAACATGTGTTTTAGAAGCATACCAAAGTCTTCCAACTGGAGGTTTCATGGCCTCGGAGGGGCTGATTTTTCGTGTCGTGGGGGGGTGGTCACGAAATGATCACAACGGGGAATTTTTTCGAATAGCAGGTAGAAATCTTCAAGCTTCCGGCACAATTCTTTTTTTTACGAAAGGCCGTGTATGAAGCTTGCCATGGACGTCCAAAGCGTAGCGACTCGCGGTTCGCAAAAATGATCACAGACGGATCACAACGATGATCACAACGGGGAAAATCTCTGGAATCGGAACGTTTTTGAAATCGCTCAATTCAGGTGACAAGAGCCAACCTAGCTCTACTCCCACTTACCCCTCTCCGATAGCTTCACTTTCAACGAAGTTATGGGTGTTCAAATGAGGGGTACTTTTCACGTGTTTGGCTTGAAATTGGCTCCAGGCCGTAAAATAGCGCGCACCAATGAGCTTGTATGAGCGCGCTGACCGCGAACAGCCAAAATTCAAAAGTAATCCATAGTTCCGGTTCCCAGCTGAGCTGGTGAGTTTTTTCTTATCCATTTATTGTGAATTACTTTGATTGTTTGTTTTTGTTGAGTTTGATTTTGTTTTGTTGAGTTTGATTTTGTTGTGAGGAAATTGCTCAGGATTCAATTTCTACGGTTTCATAGGTAGCTTGCAATGGATTCTTTTCTAGATTTTGCGGATTAGTGGATTGGGATTTATCTAGACCAGATGAGGAGGGTTGGTGGGCGAAGTGTCTTGAAGTTTTTTTGTGAGGAAGGAGGAAAAAGTTTCAGCAATATTTTTTTAGTTCTTGCATCTACATCGTCCCTTTTGAGCTTCTTTTCACTTGTACCGTGTATCACCGCTCTCTCCACTTCAACATGGGCCATGCGTTTACGACCCCCCCCCCGTTGTGATGATCACAAAGATGGCGTGCCCTTTAGCACATCGTCGAGGCGTAATAGGATATTTTGGAATGAAGCATCCAAATCTTTGACCTAACGACTCACACCGAGCTGATATTAGTTGAGTGGATGTGCTACATTTTTTTCAGTACGCTCGTCCATTGCATGGTCTAATCTTGTTAATTTGGAAGTACTAACTACTTGCAGTCAGTGGTCCAGATATTTAGAAATAATGTCTCACGGCAATTGACCACACTGAGATAGGGGTCACAATTTTATCTCAGAACTCTAGCCTAGGTAATTGAGCACAAT